TGCTGCCCTTGAGGGTGAACCTGTTGTGCCCGTGGCAAGATGTTCTTCTCCTGGACTAGCTGGGTGAATCTATGCTCTACACTCTCTGCAGGGATTGCAGCTGCAGGATTACACCCCAGGCGTGTATGCCAGGCCTGAGCTGTGCCTGGAGTTGGTAAGGTGAAGTAGGGGAAAGAGGAAGCTCTCCCACACACTCACCAGACCTGGGCTAGGACTGGGTCTGGGGGTTCCCAGGACGTGGCAGAAATTCCTACTCAGCCGGCGGGGTGGGGGAGCTACTGCGGAGTGTTGGGGGGTGGCCCAAGGGGGTGGGCGAGGGTCCGGCCCATACTGCGCCTGGGCTGGGACTGGTCCCGCCATTGCAGGGTAGCAGGAAGCTCTCCAAACACTCACTGGACCTGGGCGCTAGGAGTGGTTCTGGGGGTTCCTGGAAGTCTGCAGAAATTCCTACTCGGCGGGCGGGGTGGGGGAGGTACTGCGGAGTGATTGGGGGCGGCCCAAGGGGTTGGGAGAGGATCTGGCCCATGGTGCATCTGGGCTGGGAGTGGTTTCACAGGCGCAGGGTACCAGGAAGCTCTCCACACACTCCCCGGACCTGGGCTAGGACTGGCTGCTGCAGTTTTATAAATACAGTAAACCAATTCTTGAAAATCATTCAGATTTAGAACAATGTGTTCTTATTAAGCAAACAAGCATGCAGCTCCAATCACTTTGTTAGCCAAAGGGCTGCATTGCCCTATCTCTGCTAACTTCCACACCTAATATTCATCCCAGAAATGAAACTCTACCTCTCAGTTATTTCTACAGCTACACATTCCAAAGTTTTGCCTTTTGCTTAAGGTCCTAAAAGAATCTCATCCCAAATTTGGTGAATATCTAGGTGCTTGCAAGCAAAAACTTCAGCAACAAGTTTGAACTTCCTTCCTTACATACTGTCGCAGTTGTTTTTCTATTGTTGCTGGGGGAAAAATCCCCTATACTACAAATTAAGGAAGGAAAGATTTATGTAGCTCACAGTCTATGGGGGTTTCAGTCCATATTCAGCTGGTTCCAAGGCAGCATGGCACATGGCAGAGTGCAGCAGTTCCTGGTGGCAGAAAACAGCAAAATAGCAAGATCAAAAAGGGCTGAGCAGCAGCTAAAGCAAGCCTCTCTCCCTTCCTTATATTGCTTTCAGGCTATCCACCTGAGTGCCAGCTTAGCACTTACACTCACAATCCCAGCATTAGATCATGAAATAACCACAAATTCTGGAAGCTCACCCCAAGGACTGCATAAGACTTTGTGGGGACAAGTAGATAAAAACCATAACACATACTTATGCACATTAGGAAACAAAGAATATCCTAGTTGCCACACTTATGTAAGTACAGGAAAACATTGGGAAATAATGTATATTTCTATCAATGAGTTCCTAAATGGGAAACATGCCGGATGCTCCAGGAACTTTGCTGATCTCAGTGCTGACTGGCACTATCTTAGCAAACTGAACTCCTCAGTAGACATGCCAATAATTCACAATGGGTATCTCAGTTATTTACAGAGCCACACTCTGCAAAGTTCTGGAATTTGCTGACTACTATAAATGGAATGTATCCAGAAATTGTTCAAAATCTACCTCCTTGCACATATAAACTACAGCACTATCCTTCATTTCCATTGATTTTTATGGTCCATAGAATGTACAAATATACAAGTTGCTATGCTTTAGTAAATATAGCAGAATCATTCAGGAAAAAACTTACTTTTAGAACAATGTGTTCTTATTAGGCAAAAAAACATGAAGTATCTATCACTTTGTTGGTCACAGCATGGCAGTACACTCTTGGAAAACTGACATACCCAGTATATATCCCAGAAACAAACCCTCTACCCCTCAATTATTTACACAGCCACACCCCCTAAAGTATTGTCTTTTGTTTAAAGCCTTAAAAGAATCTCACTCCAGATTTGGTAAAGTTCTTGGGACTTGCAAGCACAAATTGCAACACTATAGATTTTCTTTAATACATGTTTATGGGCACTAGGAAGCAATATCCTATTTGCACACTTATGTAAATACAAAAGAACATTGCATATTTCTAAATGATGCATATTTTGATGGGTTTCTAATAGTGAAACATACATGTTGTTGACTACAGTCCTGAATAGCACTATCTTAGCAAAATGAATTTCACAGTATATGTGCCAATAATTCATAATGAATGCACAGTTTTTTTTTTACAGAGCCACAATCTGAAA